TTGGGAAGAAAGTCCGGCGACAGATCCAGTTCCAGTGTCGGAGTATTTAAAGGATCTTCAAGAAACAATGCAGCTAGCTAGAGACATTGCTCAAGAACATTTGCTTGCGGCTCAGCAGAGACAAAAAGACTATTATGACTCTACTGCTAAACCAAAGATTTTCAACATCGGAGATGAAGTTTTGTTTTTGTCTCCCAGCAAAACCAACAAACTTCAATTGGATTGGTCTGGACCCTGGAAGATCATCAGAAAGCACAGCCAGATAAACTATGATATTTTTGATGAACATTCCAATGTAGAAAGAAGAGTCCATGTAAACATGTTAAAGCCTTATGTTGTAAGGTCTGTGAATGTATGTTTTGTTGTTTCGGAAGAGGAATCCGGTCCCTTTTCTTTTTGGGAGGGTGATCGTGAACAGTACAAAAATTTAGATCGGGTAGATATGAACATAGAATTGTCCCAACCACAGCATAGAGAGGTTGTAGAAGTTTTAAGTAAATATAGAGACATATTTTCAGATTTGCCAGGAAAGGTCCAAGGAGTCCAGCATCGAATAAACACCGGTGATGCAACTCCCATAGTATCTCCACCCTACAGGGTCACGGGGAGAATTAATGAATGTATTGAAAAAGAGATTAGAGAAATGTGGGATCCAGGTATTATTGTTCCATTAAGTAGCTCTTGGGCTTCACCCATGGTTTTTGTACAGAACCCAGTTAGATGTAGAGGGTGAGGACAGACCTATTTTGTTTTGAGAAAAAATTAGATAATGTAAAAGGTACAAATAACAAATTGTTAAGATGGAGTTTGTGTTTACAGGATTTTGCATTTGAGATTAAAAATGTTTCAGGTAAACGAAATATAGTTGCGGACGCCTTATCTAGGATTCCATAGGTCAAAGGTTTGTATATATGTGTAATTAAAATGTACTTAACGATAATATGTTTCCCTTTCAGAATTGGTGTATATGTATTTATTGTTGAATAATATGTGGAATTATTTTTGCCAGGAACACTTGGCTGAAATAATATTAAGTTAGAGTGTTAGTACTTTCACTGAAAAGAAGAAGGAGTTTATAAGTTTTTTTTTTTTTTTTATTTTTTTAGATTAAGGTTTTTTTTTATTTTTAAAGACTTAGACGGATGCAGGTGTTTTTTTTTATTTTTTTATATTTTTTTTTATCCTTTTTTATTTTAAAGTTTTTAATTTGTTTAAGTTTTATTTATTATTTATTTTTTTTTTTTTTTTGTTTTTGTTTTTTTTTTAAAGCGTTTTAGTTGTTGCATATAGTACTTCACTGAAGAAGGAGTTAAAAGGATGGTAACATCAGAAGCCTGAATGTATCTCTACCAAGCCATATTGTAACCATCAAGCTTGTGCCAAGTTCAACATCTTAGTATTGCAACAATTACGCTCTGTTAATAATAAACTTGTTCTCTCTGTGTTATAAATCTGCCTCCTCCATTGATTTTACATTTGGTGCAATCCACTCTACCAAAGTTGCCTCACAACGCAGATAGGGATAAATAGAGACTTCAATTCCAACGTCTCTATATATATATATAATGGTGGCAGTGTAATCAAGCAATTTTGGGACTTCCTTATAATTTAGGTTGAAATTAGGTGGATTAACATACATATTTATTAAATTTTGGTAATCCCATTTAGGTGGGATTACGCTTCCTTACATTTTTGGTGGCAGACGACGGGATTCGTGTAACAACTGATCGAGTGGGGGAGAAACAGAGACTTCAATTCCAACGTCTCTATATATATAATGGTGGCGGTGTAATCAAGCAGTTTTGGGACTTCCTTATAATTTATGCTGAAATTAGATGGATTAACATACATATTTACATAATTTTGGTAATCCCATTTAGGTGGGATTACGCTTCCTTACAGGAGTCCTAAGATTTTATTGCTATTTTTTTCAAGTGAGATAAATAGCGTTATTTTGTAAGTGAAATAAAATAGAAATACAGTAGAAGTTTAAAAAAAACACCCTGATCTTTGTTCATGTTAGCCTACACAAGAAAAGCTATTTTAGGTGCCTGCAGTAAACATGTGGCATTCCTTGGAAAGCAATATGTGAACAAGTAGAAGACTAGATGGTTTAGACTATAAATTCTCAGAAAAGGAAACAGTGTGTTTATGGCTTTACAGACATTACTGGGTATTTTGAGTTATGGTTCAACAGAGGCCACAATCTGACTGTGAGAGATTAAATCTTTTGTTTATACCGTGTCTTTCCAATGTATTATGATTGTTATTCTTATAAGAAATGCTTCCAATCATTTATGAGAAGCCAAAAATGTGTAGCTTCAGTTGAACAAGCTGAGTAAGTCTATAGGTCAACTAGAAGCAAATTAAACCGCAGGCCACTATTTACAAGATTTTTTTCCCCTAGAGTTTTTTCTCCATGAAAGTTCTGCTTAAACTAATAGTAAAGATAAAGGTTTCCCCTTGACATTAAGTCTAGTCGTGTCCGACTCTGGGGGGTGGTGCTCATCTCCATTTCTAGGCCGAAGAGCTGCCGTTGTCCTCCTAGGTCATGTGGCCGACATGACTGCATGGAGGCCATTACCTTCCTGCTAAGTGGTACCTATTGATCTACTCACATTTGCATGTTTTCAAACTGCTAGGTTGGCAGAAGCTGGGACCAACAGCGAGAGCTTACCCTGCTCCCCGGATTCGAACCGTTGACTTTTTGGTCAGCAAGTTCAGCAGCTCAGCGGTTTAACCCACTGTACCACCGGGGGCTTAAACTAGTAGTTATTTTTATGTTATTTTATGTTTCGAAAGCCACTGAATCTATTTTGGATATATTAGATGAAATTCTCAATAAAGTCCATTGATTTCACTCTCTTCTGGTTCATCTGGTTTGTGAATTGCTATCAGTTTACTGCTTATTAATTATATTTTTCATATCAATAGCTTTTGAGTAACTAAATGCAATTCCTCGTAGCATACTACATTTTGTATCACGTGAAATAAATTAAACAGTTGAGGCATAGCGTAATACAGCCTAATTTTTGTTAATGTATTCTCCTTAGATTTCAGCAAAAAGAATAAATGTATTAGCTCTCCAATTTATAGAGATTATGAAAACGACAACAATGAAAATCCACAGATGTGGCAACACTTGAAGCAATTACATCATTTTACATCCCAGATATTAAATATTTGATCACACCAACAGTAACAACACAATCTCAGGTAAAGCCATCAGCTTTAACACATTTAACTGTTAGACCTGTATTAGAGGATTCGTCGTATTTTTAAACACATAAACATGAGGTGTAAGATTTATTAGCCTTCTCTTCTGATTGTTAATTCTAGACATGCAATGAAATGTTTCTCTCTTTCTTGATCCTTATACACATCCATTATTGGTCGTTTTTACTACATAATTAATCAGTCATTTATCACTTTTGAAGCAGGCAACTGTGTTACAGTGTTCCCTCGCTACTTCGTGGTTCGCTTTTAGCAGACTCGCTGTTTTGTGGGGTTTTGAAAATATTAATAAAAATTATAAAATATTTATATCCAGTGGAGGCCAGGGAACCTGTAAGTATGGCTGCCTGAGGTGTGGCGGGGAAGGCATGCCTCCCTAGCCTGCTGCTGCCTGCGTGGCTCCAGAGGCTCTGCGGGGTTCTGCGGAAGCCAGGGAGGAAGGAAGGCGTCCTTGGGATGGGCCGGGAGGCGAGTAAGGAAGCACGGGTAAGAAAATAATGCATAAAATAATATATAAATATTGAAATTAATATGGCATCCCTACTTTGCAGATTTTCACTTATTGCGGGTGGTGCTGGAATGGAACCCCCGCAATAAGTGAGGGAACACTGTATTTTCTTGTATATATTTCTACTCATATATTCCATGAGAAGTTGGCACAATTTTTAACTTTTAACTTGAGTTCAGAATCATCCAACTGCAATTCTATACACATTGTCATGGAAGCAACCACTATTGGTGTGTATTTTCTTCATTTCTTTACATATGCAGTATTCTTTCTTTTTTTAGGTTATAGAGCAGTCATGGGCAAACTAAGGCCCAGGGGCTGGATGCAGCTGCCTGGTTGCTAACCTCAGGCCCTCCTCATTTTCCCTGTCCTCTGGGCAGAAGGACACGGCAGCTTGCCACTTCCTTATGGCAAAACGATGGGGGAAGAAGGCATGTAGCAGCTGAAAGCCCTCTGGAATGCTCTCAGTCATGGTGTGTCTCAATCTCCTCCTACCATAAGGAGCGGCTCCATCTTTATGCCGGGAGGATGGCTCAAAGAAGGCACGCGGTGGCTGAGAGCCCTTTGGAGCACTATCAACCACTGCCTGTCTCACCCTCCTCTTGGCATAATGCCAAGAGGACAGCATGAGGATTGGGGAAGGAGGATGGAGAGAGGGATCGAGGGGGGAGGATTGGAGCAGTCGCTGTGTGTCCCGCCTTCCTCCCTGCATAAGGATGGAGCAAGCATCCCCGTCCTTATGCTGGTAGGACAACTTGAGGATGACCTAGGCCCTGCCCTGCCCCGCTCCTGACCCCGCCCTCTCTCAGACCCTCCCACTCTCAGGCCCACCCCACCCACTGTGTGCCTGATCCTCCTTCCTCCTGGCCCAGCCCTCCAGGCCAAGTCCGGAATGCAGCCCCAAGACAAGTCTGCCCATGCCTGTTATAGAGGAAAAGCCTTTCAGCTATATGGCAAGAAAATTGTATACTCTATAAGAAGACCAAGACCTTTCAAACAGGGCTTTGGAAGGACCATTGGGACTAGGGGAGAATCTTGTCTTTAAACATAGAAGCTGAACAGGTCTCTTTACATAAACAAATGATCTGCAAGCTTCCAAGCTATTACATTCAGTGATACACATTTCCATGTGAACATGAATGTGATCTGGTTCTTAATTAAAAATGCTGCTCATACACAATGATGACTAACATTTTCACAGTCTGTTTAAGGCACATAATTATACATTTTGCTGCTTTTCAAAATGAAATGCCCTTGCCTTAGAATGATAATCTTGCTCCAGCCTGGAGTCTGATCCTGCTACCTGTTTATACTTGTTCATATTCATTTGGCGATTTCTCTCTTCTATATCCATAGCACCTGCCAAGTTAAAAAGGAAATAATCAGTTATTTGCAAATCAAAGTTTTTTTAAATATCAATACAAACACTTTTAGATTTAATTGGATATTTGCTAAAATAATCTTGCACATAGTTTTATATAAAAATAGCCTCTATCGTTTAGCTTTGATTAGTCAGACCATTAAAAAGGAAGCATACAAGAAAACAAAAGGCATCTTGGTGAGATAAAATAATTTAATTTCAATGATGTACATGAAAAACGTGGTTCCAAAATAAGGTTTTAATTCACTATTTTTTGTACCTGCCAAAATATCTAAGAGGAACAGTTACGATCATTTTTAAAATGGAATAATGTATGGACCATCTAGATTTCTGAATTACTATGCGACATTTACTCTTTCTTTTTTCTTTTAATGAGTAAACACTGATATAGAATGATCAGATAACACATATTTCTCCATCTTTACTTTTCATAGGCCTTTCAGGTGACGTTTCTGGACTACAACTGCATATGCATGTTTTGGGCCTGTGATGCAGTTAAATAGACAGCAATAGGCCTCAAATAGAATACTTTAAAAGGTCATAAGTTACCAAAAGAAGATTAAAAACCATGTGGCCATAAGAAAATATTGCTAAGATATTGGCCTCCACTGTCACAGAAGAACATCTGAAGAGACAAATCCTCATATCAGGAAACAAGAAATTGCTCAGTGTAAATAATTATTAACTTGTAATTAATCCTTTTAACTAATTATTAGGGCAATTCTAAATTACATTTTGAGTTTGAATAACCTGAGATATATATAATTCCTTTTGAAGTGACATTCAACTGTGTTTATTACTTTCACAGCTAATTTATGTGTGGCTTCACATTACTTAAGTGTAATACAGACCAGCAGTTTGTAGCATTCAGATTTCTTTAAAAAAAATTATGACAATATATTGCAATTATAGTGGGAATTAAAATGTTAACTACAATGGCAACCTTTCAGGGCCTTGGAATGATAATTGACAATAATTATTTTTAAAATAACATTCCAAATTATGCAGACATGTGTTTTAATTTTTGTTAAGAGAATAGGGGACCTTTTCCTTAGCTAAAAAAATATTTGGGACTAAATCATACAACAGGTGGGACATCAATTAGCAAGGTGATAATATAAAAACTACCAAAACAGCACTTCTACTAGTAGCCGCTGTGTGTTCTTGTCCTCATAATCATTTCTTCAAATTGTACGAAACAACCATTGAAAATATTGTGCAATATGTTTGTGTAAACCAGACGTTTAGCATTCAGCAAAGCCAGATGTAAGAAATAGTATATATTTTTTGCAGTTACAATATGAAACAGAACTCCACCGGCACCTTTGAAAAATGTACACAAAAAAAAATCAGAACAGAGGTCTATGAAAGGGGGAGAATGAGGGCATGAATGGAAGATTTGAGAAATCATTTTTGGAAATTGCAAAGTGTTACATATATAAAGTTGCTAAAAGTTTGGTTTTTTTAAAGAAAAAACACACATGCACGCACGCACGCACATGCACACACAGGAGATTGGTCAGATCTAAGTGCATTTAGGCTACAATACTGTAGCTTGCCAAGGAGTAAGCCTTATTTCAATGTGACTGATTTTTGACCATTATGTAGGTAAAAAATAAAGTTTGTCCCCAGACATTAAGTCCAGCCGTGTCAAACTCTGGGGGTTGGTGCTCTTCTCCATTTCTAAGCCGAAGAGCCGGCGTTGTCCGCACACGCTTCCAAGGTCATGTGGCCGGCATGGAGCGCCGTTACCTTCCCGCCGGAGAGGTAACTATTGATCTACTCACATGCATGTTTTCAAACTGCTAGGTTGGCAGAAGCTTGGGCTGACAATGGAAGCTAACGCTGCTCTCCAGATTCGAACCTGCAACCTTTCAGTCAACAACCTCAGCAGCTCAGCAGTTTAACCCACTGCGCCACTAGGGGCTTCCTTGAGTAGTATGTATAGGACCGTAAAGTTAATTATCATTGTTTAAGTAACCGGGGGCTCCCTTGAGTAGTATGTATAGGACCGTAAAGTTAATTATCATTGTTTAAGTAACTGGGCATTTAGCAGACCTGCTGACCTTGGACATAAACAGAAAAAGCACCCTGCTGACATGCACTGCAGTGCAAAATATGGGGACTAAATCACACCAAACAAAATTCAAAATAAGCCCCTTTATGCGCTTAGCAGGCCCTAACTGCGACATTGCATGGCAAAATCAGCTTTGCAAAATCTGAAGCGCTTTACAGATACCTGTCTGCAATTTTTAAATTCAGAAGGAAGGGCTTACCAAAAAAATATTCCAAGGCCATGAGTGGGCAGCAGGGGGTCAGTTGACTGCCCCAGGACAGGAAATTGATTGCCTCCATTGCTAACTGACACTTTCCCCTTTCTTCCCATCACTTATGCCTCCTGGCCTAAACATCTAACAAGAAGGTTTTATGCCTAAATGCCACAAAGGCACCAGAGCAAGAAGGCTAAGCAGGGCCTGCCCTGGTTAGTGCTTGCGTGGGAGATCATCAATGAATGTTCAATGCTGTCGGCTATATTTCAGGAGAAGGAACTCGCAAAAGCACCCCACTTGCCTGAGGAAACCCTGTAAAATTCATGGGATCACCAATTTGTCATCAGATGATTTGAAGACACACACACAAATTGTAATAATCACCTTTCAGTGCTTTTAAGAAAGTGTGCAGTCTTTTAAATATAAATTCTCAAATATTGGCATGAATTAACAATATTTCTAAATAATGATCAAAACACAAACTAAATCCATCCATTGTATCAAAAATAAAATGAATACTATATTGCACAGATTCTAAGACAACTATTGCTTCTAAGACACACACTAATTTCAGTACCACTAACAGGGAGGAAAAATGTGTTGTCGAAGGCTTTCATGGATGGAATCACTGGGTTGTTGTGAGTTTTCCGGGCTATATGGCCATATTTCAGAAGTATTCTCTCCTGACATTTCACCCACATCTATGGCAGGCATGCTCAGTAGTTGTGGGCAAAACGTCAGGAGACAATGGTTCTGGAACATGGTCATACAGCTCAGAAAACTCACAACAAACCAGGGTAGAAAATATAGATAAGCACTCACAACTCTAAGATGCGTCCCATTTTTCAAGGTGTTTATATGGGGGGGGGGTGCATCTTAGAATCAATAAAATACAATATTTGTTGCCCGATTGATAACATTATTTCTGCTCTTTGACTAATATTAATAATTCAGCAACAATGCTTTAAAGTGGTATATATTTAAATGACATTCAAAGTAACAGTACTTGTTTAACCCCTCCCTCCTGGAGATGGCCCTATGTGGATATATTTAAGTCTCAGACTCGGTCTGAAGGAATTTCCTTTTAAGTCTTTTTAAAGGAAGCTTTAAGAATAAGTTTAAGACTTCCAAATGTTCAAATCAATATGCAAAATGTACTGATGATGGCTGTTGCTGTCGCTTGCTGGTTTGGCACACGTTGCCTTTGGAATGCCAATCATGTCTATAACGTAAAAATGCAAGCTATTATCAAGGGGAAAAATCCATTCTATACAATGGTGCTTGCATTGTGTTTTCCAAGACAGATTTACATGTTTGTGATTAGTGCCTTTCTTTTAAATATGGACAATACGGTGACAGGACAGATGTCAGTTGTGCTGCTTTCCCTAAAGCAATTTCCCTAAAAGCAGCCAACTCCACTATTTTTGGAAAATAGCAGCTGCTAAAATGCACCATTGCCATTTTTGTTTTAAACAGTGAGTTTTGAGCCTTTTCTAGATTGGAAAAAAACCCTCCTCTCTAGAAGGTTCAACATCTGAATTAAAAGTCATGACTGTTTGCTTACATAATTCTGGTACCTTCTGTGGCCTGACCATGAGTTATGATTGCTTGACTTGATAACTAAAATTATTGTCACGGCAATATAGAAAACACTACATCTCTGTCTTTCTAGCACTTTTGTATCCAGTTCAAAGCTAATGAAAATCTATTGATATTTGAGTACAGATTTGAGTACTGAACAGAGACAATGGCCAAGCATACTGAACATGTTGATTTCAAGTGTATAGCACACATTTTAAAAAGCACAGATGTAGATGGGAAAGGATTTGGAACTGACATTCAATCCCTGAAAATGTATACACATGAATCTACTTCTAATGTTGGCATAATGCTTAGCATTGTTCCATATACTATGACTTTGCAAAAATATTAAATTCAATTTGCCTCTTTCTAAGCACTTGCTTGATGGCAAAGCAAGCCCTTTGCTGCCTCCAATCTGATTACTGTGTTGCAGCATCCTTGCAATGTTACAGAGGATCACGGGGCTGATTTCCAGGATCACATGTGCATCAGTATCCCTGTGACACTGCATGGAAGTCTATAGCACAACAGCATGATTCATTGACCAGGCTAAAAATACTGCTTTACCAAATGACAATTGGAGCTGCTCATGTTTGCCTTGCTCAGGATAGTGATTAAACGCTAAAACTAATGACACGCCTGATGGGAGACATCAGTTTCATACCAATTCAAGAAGCCTAATTATTAGTGTGATCAGCATAATTAAGTTGTCATAATCAAACAAAACACACATCTGAATGACCTTATGATTTTGGTTTCAAAGCTAATATGGTTATTTCCTTTCAAAGTGTTCCCTTCTATACAATTTAAAGTCATTTTACTTAGAAGCATTCCTGTTCTGCTTAGTTTATAAATCTAGTTTATTGTTGTGGGTCCTTGTTTTAAAGAAAAGTTAAAGGCTTTGTGTTTTTTTTTCCTTACTAACCAATACATTTTCATTTTTGAATGCTTTCTAGATTTTTTTGAACATAATTTTGAAGTCAGGTTTTCCTTCATGTCAAAAATCCTTATCATCCAAGGCAGGAGTGAGGAACGGCCAATCCGGAAGTTGTATACGGACCCCGAAATCATTTGACCTAGCCCTTGGTCTCCCACCCAAATACCAACCAAATACTGACTTGAATCTGGTGGCTTTTAACAATCCTCACAAAAATCAGTCTCAGAAGATGATTAAGGAAGTTACAGTACATAGAAAAGACCTCAAAAGTCAATGATATGAACATTGGATACATTCCAAATCCAACATGCAGCAATCAAAACAAAATAATTCACACCCAAGAATGTGCTGCTGTGGCTGTTGTGAGTGAGAGAACTCCTTTGATGGCCTCCCTGGATAGAAGCCAGGGTGCGTGTGCCTGCTAAGGCAGGTGACATGGAGAGGGTGACCAGAAGTTTTATAAGCCCTAACTGCCCACCTTTGGTCCTCTTTATGCTCTTTTTGAGGCTGGATCGGCAGGAATGCTGCTTCGCTCTACATGATCCCTGGCTGTGATTTCTGTGGATACCTTTTGCCTGGTTTGTTGTGGTTGCAGGGTTAGCACGGGGATGTAGTCCACCATTCAACAGTCCACCACCCTGCAACCACAAGACTGTTGAATTGTCAGCACTGCAAGAGGTGGGAGGCAGGTTGCTATTTTTGAATTAGGTCTTTCCATCCTTGCTCCTTCTCCTTTCCTGTCCAGTGGATAATAGAGTTCGAATTACTATGCCTTCGGACATTTGCCCACGAGAGTTATAGAATTGAGGAAATCATCAGAGTTAACCCTGCAGATTTCTGGGAAATGTAGTTCAGGGCAGAGCCTTTGGAATTCTTGGTGAGAGAGGTCATTGGCTTTCCTAAACTACATTTCCTAGAATTTTGCAGGAGCAGATCCGACAATAGCTTCAATTCTATAATGCTGATGGAAAAACTTCATTTGCCTCTCAGGCATTTACTCTGCAATCTGGGCTGTTTTCACCGGTGGGGATTTTGGCATGAATTTCCCAGCAGGGCATAATGCAAGAATGGAGAACATCCAGTCCACACACTGTATAAAGCCTATGAAAATGATTTCTGACTCTTTTGTGGGCCAGGTGCCGTTTACAATTCAGACCTGAGCTGCTTCTAGGTTTCTCTCCTTGGTCACCTCACACAAAAATGATACTGCTCATTACTTCATGCATGGAGCGATGGTTACCAGAATGTGGAGGCGATTAAAGAAGATAAGTGGGGGAAGAGGGAGTAATTCCTCCACATCCCTGCCTCCCTCATCACTCCAAGAGCTAAGCAACAAATAGGGCCATATTCAAGTCCCATGGACACTGCAAATGGAAGATCGAAGAGGACAGGGTAAGGGTGATGGGCAAGAAGTGCCAAACTGGTTTCAATGCTAGTCGCCCATGCAGGCATCATCCACCCAGTGAGGACATTTGGGGAATGTAGCCCCTATCCAGTTCCCAAGCCAGCTCGGGAGTGTACAGTTAAGCTTCCAGCAATGCTGTTCCAGAATACCCCGCAACAGATCAGCATTGTCATTTCTGCCCTCTCAAGATGCACACCAACTAAAATCTATGGATATAAACGTGTTTATTTCAATCTTGCAGGAATGAATCTTGAAACCCATGTTTGGAAAAGGTAGAATACAAATTCAGTAAAAATACAAACACAAATAGTTTCAAAATGTTTCTTTTACCAGGAAAATTCCCCCCAAAATTGTACAATTTTAAAAGTCATTTTTGTTCTCACTTTGGAATTATTTGCAATAAAATTCTTTTAAATTAATTTGTTTTTTGTGCAAAAACCCTTGAGTTGTGTAGTTTACCGCTTTTGCTTTTTATGTAAAATAAAAACAATGTAGGGTTTTCACATTTTTAAAATTAAAAGGCCTAAATTGCAGAGAATCTCACAACAGCTAAGTATATTCTTTATTGAGAATAAGAATGATTATGAGCCTTCTTTACATAGCCACTGAAATGTCAAGATAGTAATGAGATTTGCTTCTACCAAAGATGTATCGGTCCCCTCCCTCCTAACATTTTGTAAAAAAAGTTAAAACCTGGTTTTTTGAGCAAGCATTTGCAATTGCAATGTAACAGGCAAATATAGATCTATAGAATGACTGTACGACATGAATTGGAAAATGATTTTAGCAAGGAGACGCTGAGGATTTATGTTTTTATTAGTTTTGTATGGTTTTTATATTATTTGCTAAATGTTTTAAAATTGTATTTTATGTTATTGGGGGCATCGAATTGTGCTGACTGTAAACCGCCTTGAGTTGCCTTTGGGCTGAGAAAGGCAGTGTATAAATACAGTGAATAAATATATAAATAGTATTGTGTAGATAATGAGTGAGCTTCTAAAGCTCATAAGCCATTGAACATTACGACAATATGGCCTTTACAATACCCAGGACTAAGTACTGAATCCAATGGAACACATAATTTTATTTGCATCTGGAAACAATAATAAAGATGCAAAATGCATAGTTAAAATATGATCATGAAAAATATTTTGTTTTCTGGTTGTATCTTCAACTGAATTTAACAAAGTGTTTATTTGTTTAATTTAAAGCTGAGAGGTACTCTATTTTCATTTCTGCTCATGTAATTTAGTAATGAAAAGTGACAGCTTGGTGCAAAGAAAAAAGTTTATTTCCAGTACAGCTGCACAGCTGCACATGTTTGGCCTACTGTCTTTTGTTTGAGACAGTGGAGGATGAGAAAGGAAGAGAAGATAACATTCCTTGGCACGCATTCTCAGTAAGTTATGACCCACCAAGAGGAGCCTTGCATACATCCATTGCCCAAAGAATCCACAGAGTACTGGAACATTATGAATACAAATAAGACTACTTGAGGCAATAATTAATACAATATATTCAGACAAACCACACAGTAAATGCACACACCACAATCTAAGACATCTACAATAATGAAGCATTCACAAAACTGCCCTACCTTCATCCCCATTCTCTGGCACTGTACAAAAAAGGGGAAGCAAGGAGAGAAAATGCAAAAAATAAAAATGAAAGTGAGGTCCAGAAATCATAGATTTAGAAAAGAAAACATGAATGAATGAAAAAGATTTCCATAGCATGTCTATCATGGTTAATACCCTGTTCTTACAAATATAAACACTTAATTGCCAATAGTTTGTGGCTCTAAGGTACAGGCTTCTCAGATGAGCCCCCTGAACATCTAGAACCATTAACACAATCTACACAAGGAAGAGTGCTGTAGTTGTCAAATATAATTAGCATACGCTTCCATTGCATAGAATCACAAATGAATTCAAAAGAAATATGCACACTGGATTTTTAGCATTAACCTTCACAATATACTGCCATGATACCAAAAGAAAACGGAAAGAACCAGTCACACTTATAATAATTTTTTTCTAGGGGTAATTATACTTAATCTATCTATAATAAGACTTCACCTTAAGTATTGATGGAGTAAAATCCCGAACAGAACAATTCAATACTTTGGTTAGCTTTTGGAAAATAATGACCCAAGAAGCGTGTTTGTTTGAAGGCAACCCAGACATTCAAAAGATACTACAAGGGAAGAATTGTGATACTGATCAGGATTGTGCTATGATGCTGATTGTTCACAGCAGCCTAACAAGCAGACACAGTTTGGCAGGGTGCTGTGAATGTGTAGTGAAATGCATTGCCCAAGTCACTGGGCAACCAGACCGCTGTTCCAGGTAAAGCAAAGCTACGTGTCAGGTAGCTGTGGCTTGTAGATGTTTTGATTAAGAGGAATTGTAATGGTGCAGCCCATTCTGTTTAAGACGATTGTAATATTTTCAGCTTGCAGTGCTCCAGCCAATGGGCTTGTAGCTCTGTGCTGGACACCCATTAGCTGGTGGACTACCTCCTCACCTGGCCGGAGTGGCCTGGATGTGGTTTTTGCTCTTCTCAAGCAGCCCTGTACTCTTACAAGCACTGGAATAAACATTCAGACGTTCACTCCAAAGATTGTCCCATGCACCAACACCACAATGCTTTTTGATGCATCTGTATATTGCCATTTGGCACAACTTTGGCACAACTGGGACCAGGCTGTGGCATAGTTGGTTGGGAGTCAGCTGCATTAAAATCACTACTGACCGAAAGGTCATGAGTTCGAAGCCAACCTGAGTCGGAGAAAACTTCCGATCATTTGTCTAGCTTGCTGTCGACCTTTGCAGCCCGAAAGACAGTTGCATCTGTCAAGTAAGAAATTTAGATACTGCTTTATGCGGGGAGGCTAATTTAACTAATTTACAATGCCATAAAAATCTCCAGCAGTGTGCAAAAGAATGAGAAAGTACTCCATCAGTTTCATAAGTGGATGGTGAAGCGACAGCTCCCCCGGTGGCCAGAATTTGAGCATACCCTCATGAAGCCGGAATGTTAACTAGCCTCTGTATGTCTGTCTATATATGTTGTGTGTCTATAGCATTGAATGTTTGCCATGTATATGTGCATTATAATCCGCCCTTTCTTTGCAGGGTGAGAAGGGCGAAATATAAATACTGTAAAATAAATAAATAAACTTTGTGGGGAGGATTTGGTACCACTGTCCACGCCTTGGTTGTGTAGAGAATCCCATTAGGGAACTTGGAAGTGTGTGATCTAGGGTGTGCAGTACCTGCCCAGTAAAGTGTAGGGTATGCAAATGCCTGCCAGACACATCCTGGTGGCCAAGAGAACTATGGTTGGGGTGACCCAGTGGGTTTCTTTCATGCCATCCCAGGGAGATCTGGCATCTGTCCAGATCTGCAGGCTCATCAATCCAGGTTGCTTGAGGCTTGGATTCAGAATGATGAGCCAACCGTTGTCTATATCTGTAACCGAACACAGCTGCGGCCTATTTTTGTATCCAAATAATTGGTATATGCCTGGTTACTGGGGTTCAACATGCAGAACCTATTTCACACCTGAACACACAAATCGAGTTCAGCATTTCGAAACACTCAGTGTTTATCAAAATTATTATCCAGTTATTTGTGGATACACAGATTTTGGAGCACATTCTCAATATGTGCAAGATGCCGACAACATCAGAATGAGCATAAGCTTAGGTTTTTGACTACTTCAGCCTTAGTAGGAAATCCTTGATTTATGTTGTTTGGAATAAATATTGAAGCAAGCCATAGCTTCATGCAGTTGTTATGTTGCACTGTATATGAAGTATACACATACTTGTATACACAAGATAGAGGACTTTAACTCAACCCAGGAATATTCTTCCAGTGATTACCATACACACAAAACCAAGTTATGCCTTTTACAATTAGAGAGAGAGTTGTTTGTGGTAAGGACATATCCTTATGAATGCATTTTGAGAGGTATACATGCTTCTAAGAATGCCCTTCTATTATAAGCCTGTAAATATGCAATTAGTCATCAGGATAATGTAGTATGATACGTTATTTGAAATACAAAGCTTGATGATTCTATGTAAACATGGTATTTAAAAAAACCTCTTTTGTTAATTACTTCAATATCCTAAAGGTTAATGTAATGGAAGATATACATGTTCCAATTCAACTCTATTCATGACTAGTGGTTGTACAGTCCCCTCTATATTAAAGGATACAGCAGGCTCTTGGTATCCAACAGGATTTGTGTGATTTTTCCCCCTGGGGAAATGTTTTAAATTATTTTTTTCAAGAAGTCCCCTTTAGCCAAGCTGAAATATTAAGAAAATAGAACAGATGCACTATTTTCAATTGCTACTGTGGTCAACTGCTTATTGCACATATCCATAGTTACAATTATCTATAGTTGTCGAGTGTGAATGTGTGTGAGAGAGAGAGAGATAGCAGTGGTTCTCTAATTGTGCTCCGCAGAGCACTTAGGGCTCTGCGAAGCACATTCAGGAGCTCTGTGGGACTCACGCCCCACCCCCACCCACTCCAAAATGGGATTGGACTGGATGGCCCCCTGGGGTTTCTCTTAATATTATTAACATTATTTGATACGGAACAAGATTAGTACACAGCAAACAAGATCATTCTGCTGGCTTTTGTATTTGATGACACTTTGGACAGTTCCCAAGTGTCTAGGATTGTGTGATGTATCGGCAAATAACGTGCAAATCCAAGCAGGGTAGCCTTTTGCAGCTGACAGATGGGGCCAGGAGTCTATCATCAGTAAAGTTCTATCCTCATTAAAATAGGCAAGTTACACAGATACCTGTCGTTTTTATTGATCATTTCAGAAGAATTTTACTGAAGCCCACTCATAACAGGAAAATGAAATTATGTTATTGGCTTATAACCTTCCAATGCCGCCCCCTCCTCCAATCCCAAGAGAGCTTCCCTTCCCTTTAATACAAGTATTAAAACAGTATTAAATATCATTAAAAACTGATGGTTCGAACCAGCCACATGAAGGACAGCAGGGAGGGGGCCATTCTGGCTTCCCCAGGCAAAGAATTCCAGAGTCAAGGGACAGCCAACAGGACGGCCCTCTCTGTCATTCCCACAAATTGAGCTTGAGATGGAGGTGGGACTGAGTGAAAGGCCTCTCCTGAAGAACCAGGGCCTGGATAGGTTTGTACAAGGGGATGTGATTGGCCAAATAGCCTGGACCTAAACTGTCTAGGGCTTTAAAGGTGCTTTGAATGCAATTTTCCTGCTTCTTGGCAGGGGGTTGGACTGGATGGCCCATGAGGTCTCTTCCAACTCTATGATTCTATTATTCTATAACTAGCAGTCGGGGGATTGTCTGCTCCTTGTAGCCAGCCCCAGTTAGCAACCTGGCTACAGCTCTTGGGCCCAGCTGAAGTTTCCGAGCAGACTTTAGAGGCAGCCCCACATAGAGCGTGTTACAGTAATCCAGACGAGATGTAACTAAGGCATGGACTGCCATGGCAAGACCTGGCTTCTCAAAGAATGGAAGAAGTTGGGGCACAAGTTTTAATTTTGCAAAGGTCCTCCTGGCCACTGACGATACCTGGGTCTCCAGGTTCAGTGCCACGTCCAGGAGGACCCCCAAGCTGCAAACCTGTGTCTTCAGGGGACGTGTGACCCCATCTAGCACAGGTTGGGTCCCTATTCCCTGATCTGCCTTACGACTAACCAGGAGTACCTTTATCTTGTCTGGATTAAGTTTCAATTTGTTTGCCCTAAGCAATATTCTCTGTAGAACACAGAAGGGTCATGTGGATGCAAAGAAACCATGTCTTCCAAACCAAGTTCACTATCTTATTTCAAATGTTTTAACCTCAGAATAAAGTGAACTGTCATACTCTATTCACAATCGGCAGTAAACAAAGTCCTGTTAACTCCTAAATTATTGGTAAAATTAATAATTATGTATGTATGCTTTCTTAATAGGATTTACTGTATTTTCAGTGACCATTTAAATGAAATGGACAGTATTTGCACTCCGACTCAAAATATACTTCAACCAGAACACTAAAAACAGCAGCACATAATTATTTCACCATGTCACAGGATAGTTAACTGAACTGCAACAAACAAATATAAAATAAATATTCTGAACTGACTCATCTAGATATCTGCAACACCAAATTAGACAAAGCCTTACACAAAGCATTTCTGCTCCATGCATTTGCTGAAGGAATCAATTTGGTTGGCTGTGTTCAAAAAAAGGAAATTAAAAGACAGAATTAATCACGAAATTGCTGAATTAACCCTGTGGCTTGAAACAAGATAATGACTTTTTAAGCACACCTCAAATTTTAATTAAACTTATCCCTACCAGTTTATTAATACTACCTTGCGAATAGGTACTGCAAGTCTTTTAAACCCTTGGCATAATTATCCCTGTTCTATTTTTAACGTTTCATCATTTTTTTGACCTCAGTACTAATGTTTTACTCAGAAAGCCATTCTGAACATTTGGTAAGATAAGGTTAAGATCCACAAAAGCTTCTTATAATAAATAAACAATGTGGGTTTAAAATTTAACACTATTTTGTGTTGTTTTTACATTTGGAGATAACACAAGCCAGAAATG